CGGTTTCCTCCCCCCACTTCATTCGCTCAGCCTCTGTGTCCGCTTGTGTTTTTCTTGTCTGTGGGATAGTTTATTTGTCCTGTGGTCGTATGAAGAAGCTGGATGATGACTCCTGCTTTTGCGGGTGCAAGCGTGTGTCTAAAACAGCTGCTTGCTGCAAACAATTTAGAGTAGACCATGTTAAGCCTGCTCTGTAAAAAAAAAAAAAAAGTCACTTTTACAGAAAAAAAAAAAAACACTGGCAACTATGGTTGCCAGAATAATTCTGTAAAAATACAATAAAATTAACATATTTGCAGAACAATCTGTAACTATTTTACAAAAAAAGAAAAATCACAATACATTTTAAACCTGTAGCCTAAATCCAAAAGCCCATTTCTGCTGAATTACCGGAGCCATGCTGCTACTAAATATGTTTTGTACCTTACCCTGGTAGAGAGAAAGTCACATGATGAATCAAAGTTTAGTTTTTCCACAAGCTGAATAACAGTATAAAAGTTCCTTGAAGACACAAACAAATACAAAACACCATCATGATAACACACAACACTAAAATAATGCAATAAATAGTATTTTAACAACATACTGTGCAACATAAAACCCTATAGTACATATCTAATAATAAAATCAACGTCGGTCAATGTCAGTTTATGGATTTTCAAATTATAAGATGATTTGACCTTTTATTCTTGCAAAACTGGTACATTTAATATTATTTTTCTTTGAAATTACATTAAATGTAAGGTTAGATCTATTATAGTTTCCCCCCCAAATGTACAGTAGGAAAAAACTATTGCTATCAGGATTCATACTGTAGCAGTTTTAACAGTCTTTTACAGTTAAAATTACAATTATTTTTATCATTTTAACACTTGATCAGACACACAGGCTATTTGCAGTGAAAAGAGATGATGTTAGATAATGCTCGAACTCATCTGGATGGTTAAAGGTCAGATTTAAAAACACTATTTGACTTAATTAAATGCTTAACATTCATGGCTGAACAAAATAATTCAGCATTTATGTGAATTTCACAAAGAATGCGGCTCATGCGCCAGTTTCTACTTTGAAAGTGTTGTCTCTCATACACAAAGATTATAACTCTTTACAGATTCAGTGCTGTTTCTCATTCCCTGGAACCATTACAGCATTCCTTTCTCTTTTACCCAGTTAAGGGGCTTCTCCTCCTGCGTCTGCACACTTCCCTCCCCTGCACTGCCTGTCAGAAAGATTTTATGGCTGTTCGTACAAAAAATGGGCTATGGTCTACTCTAGTAAAAAACACCTCTCCCTCCGTCACCTCATTATCCTCATGAGTGAAAACAAGCGGCCAAACTTCTCCCTCATCGGACATTATTCCCTCAAGAGTGACCAAAGTTCTGCTGTTCCGCAAACTGTTACAGCAGCCATAAATTATTTCATTATTCTCATTCACTTGTATAGTTGTTCAATAAACTTCATGGTAGATTTGTAATAAAATATATATACAAAAAAAAATGCTTCTCAAGAGCTCAGCCATAACATATAGAACTTTGTCACGTCACTGTAATAATACATTTGACTTATTAAGCTCAGAGCATTTAGCAAAAGCCAGCTCACATGCACTTTATACAAACGAATAGGAAAGACTTCAGCAACACCTATGTATCATAAATTAAAACGAAACCAATGTTATCAAGTTACATAATTAAATCTTCAACTCAATATATATGATTACCCCTGACCTGGAAGGGATCTGGTCAGCCGAACCCCTTCGACCTACCGTATTTACTCTGAGTACTTAAAGTATTTTATGTCAATACTTAACAGTACATTTGTAAATTGTAAAAAAAAAAAAAAAAAAAAAAAAAAGTTGCTGCATTAAATTTTTAAGTACAGTCAACTCAGATGTTTAAGACTTTTCAACTTAGATTACATTAAACTGACTTTATAAATTAGTTGAATATTGTATAACTTATTCAATGAATTGAAAATTGCTTATGAGTTAAAGTTTTAGGGACTGGAAAAGATAGGGACTGATAAGATGTGGGGGAAGGTTATCCTATATTATCCTATCATCTTTTATTTTATACAGGATTGACAATGGCAATTGTTACATAGGAGGAAGGATGGAAATAAAAATCGACCAACACAATATTGGCAATATGGTGGGTGGTAGTGGGGAGTGGGGTGGTGATGGTAATGACAATGGTAAATAATAAATGGTTACTTTGTTTACGCATACACACACATACACATATCCACACTCACACCCGCTCACATACACACTTAGATCAAACACTTAAATCACTTGTCACTTCTGGAATTATGGATTTACAAGATTGCTCACTACTGCACAATGTTGGTTTGTATGTATGTCTGACTGTTAAATAATAATAAAAAGTTTTTACAGCATGAAGAGTTCAGATGCAAAAGCCTCTAAGTGCCATTTGAAATTTTCTTCGAGAATGATCATTTTTATCAAGCCTGTATATTTAAGTTCAGTAATTTCACTTAAATTGCTATGAAGATTACCTATTAATTGCCATTTAAGTGAAATTACTGAACTTAAATATACAAGCTTGATAAAAATGGCACTTAGAGGCTTTTGCATCTGAACTCTTCATATGTTCATGGTTCTCTGATGTCAGATAATGGTCACATAACATGCAGGAATAAAAAATAAAGTTGTTTTAAGTATTCTGATTTTATATTAATTTATAAAATCTATGTCCACTTTTATATTTTATGATTTAACAAAGTTAGCAGTGTTTAGAGTTCTAACAATATATAAACGGGACATCAAACTTGCACTATTGCACTGTGGGGAACAGATTCAAGAGATGCCCTTAGCGAATTCTCAGGTAACGGATCTCTTTGTGACCGGCTTAATCCTGAGCTTTCTCACCCAAGGCAAAAGCATCAGACCCCTTGAGAGAGCCAAGACATTCAGTCTTTTTACTCATTTCAAAGGGTCGTGAACTCAACAAAGGTCTTCCATGATGAAATCAAAGTGGCAGCTTGGTGGAGAAAAATAATGATTTGTCTCGAAAGAAAAAAAAAAAAGAACAGTTTCTTCTAGTCTCAAAGTGAGCATAGTGTGTATGTATGTGGGTAAACAATGTTTCAAGACCAGAGATCACACCTTAAATCGTATCATTTATATCATTTAGAAAACAACTGTTGGAATCCATACACAACAACCAATAAACAAACAAAATGCTTCAAGACCAGAGATCAGCTCACACCTTAAGTCTTATCATTTATATAATTTAGAAAACAACTGTAGGAACAAGACTACAGGGTGCCTCAGCCAGCGACCTCACTGTTAAATACCTAGTGCTAACTTTAAAGGATTAGTCTAAATCCTGCCCAATCAGCTTTCCATGTCAATGCTCAGCTGAGGCTCAGCCATACCAACTGTCTACTCTACATGTCTCATCACTTAACAATTTCTCAGAGTTTGAGCATTCAACCATTCTTCAGTCAGCCCTACAGCATAAGCATAGAAGATGTATAGGCTAAAAAATGTTGAAAAATGTTGATGAAATATCATTTGAAAGTCCTGCTGTGAGGCTTTTTGTAGTTTTCTAGTACCTCTTGAATATGGAATAATGATTATTATTTATTTATTTATTTATTTATTTTTTGGCAATAGATAATTGAAAACACAACAAGTGAAGTGTACGGCCTCAAGATAACTGGTCCATTTGCTAAATGAATAATGAAAAACTATAAATATTATTAATATTATTATTTGACCTCATTTTAAGGTAAAATTTAAAAAAAATTAAAAATGAGTTTAAAATGTTATTATAATAATAATTTCAAACAGATGAAACACTTAATTTCTTGTAGTGTTTTTCCTTTAATAAAACCAAATTTATCATATAGCCCTTCACACATCAAATACCCATCACACATCGAAACGTACACTCAGCTGGAAACACGTTTCTCTAAAATACACTGCCAAGGCAGTTCTCTCCTCTCCATTTTCACCCACAATGCCACTGCAGGAGAGTTACATTAAAAAAAATCCATCTTTTTTATTGATCAGGCCACAGTGACATGGCTAGTTTAGATTCTCGATTTCAATTGTTCCATCCTATTGGCCATTCCGAGAGCTCTCTTATTATTTCATACTGCACATGCTGGGCTCTATTGCACAGGCTGAAACTGAGCGCAAAGGGGGTGGTGGGGACTGGGGACTGCATAGAGTATGTGGACCAGGGGCCAGCGGATCTTTCCCACATGCTACCCCGTGGTTCGGCTCTGAAGAGGTGTCAGCGAGCTCTAGAGGAATGAAGTGCCTGGGCATTGTGCTGTTGAACTATTATGTGCTTAACATTACCATGACAAAAGTGCCACTCGACTTCTCCTCCTTTCAGCGGGCTGAAGGGCCCTTGTCCCCACACTAATAAAACATTTTGCAACCATCACCCCCATTTGAAGACCCTGGTGACAAGAGTGGGAGAATAAGAGTGGTAGTTTTTAACAGCATGGAGTTGAGAGACAGAGAGAGGCCTAGGTGAACATGATTAAATGACATGGAGGCAGCAATATATGCATATAGGAACCCTGAAGAGCCAGATGAAAACATGTCAGTTTCCCTTCGCAGAAAAAGTTTACCAGCAATCAAGCATGCCAGAGCTGGCACAATTTTTTTCATGTATAAAATGGAAATAAACTTAACCGCAACTGACATAATCCATAAGGAAACCGTTATGTTAAAGTACAAATTATAATTGAAATTGGTTATACATTTCTAATGGTGAATGCACACATTTGAGCATTTACAAGACCAACTTGAGAGTTGGTGCAATAGATGTACTGTTTACACAGCATTGGACGGTTAAATATCACTTTAACTGACCAGCAAGGTCAACAGATACACTGCAGATAATATGATTTTTTTTTTTTTTTTTTTAAAGATCAAATTAATCCTTTTTCGAAGTCACATCAAGAAAACACTTCAAGAGAGTCCGCACACTCTACCAAGAAACAAATTCTCAAGTGCGAGATAAAATCAATACTTTACTGAAAAAAAGAGCAAGCCTTAAGCATCCTGACACTGTAAAGTTGAAGTTCACTCTTATCCTGCAGTCACACCCTCCTGAGAGTGAGTTACTGCTGACTTACTATTTCAGTAGCTAAAAAGATCCAAATATACAACTTGTAACAAAATAATTAATTTGCGGTTTATGTTTATCTGCTACTGTTTCTCTGTTAGTTTAGAATTCACAGCTTTATACTTGAAGTTGTGGTGCGCAGACAAAGGCCTTTAAGCAAACACAGTGATTGAAAAATAAATAAACCTCTGTCAGTCTTGGCCCAGATGCAAAACGGACACCCCAGGGAAAAGCCACTCGCGCTTTTGTGTTCACATTCTAAAGATATCCAAATATCAGAGTTTATGCCTTCAGCAAACACTTCTGTTTGCTAAGGCGTGTGTCAGCGCTTCAAGCTCCTTATGTCTGTGATACTTAATCTGTTCCTGAAAAGCTCTGCTGTGCTAACCAGCATATTCTAGATTTAGCATCAGAATCCATGCATGGTCACGCATGGAGTCGATGCATTGAAACTTCCTAATGACATATAGCAAACGTTAATAAAATACACATACTCGGTTTGAGTCTTTGCACTTTAGTTTTTATGCCTTCTATAAAAAGAACATCACTGAGGCAGTCATACAGTGGATTTAGACATTTCTACACAGTAAATAGTTCATCTTAGATAACACAATTAAAATATTCTCTGAAAATCTGTACACTGTACAATATCTTAAAAGGAAAATAATTACAACAGATATTTCACTTCCCTTTAAAGCTGGAATCATCACCCTTTGTTTTCGAAGGTTACTTTATGACCAAAATAAAGTTCTCTTATGAATCTCTAGGACTTTCATAAGGTTTATCAAATGTTAGCTAATATAGAGATCTACTCATTCTTTTCCTTATTCCAAACACTTTAAGAAGTTACTCATCTGAAGTCGTTTGCAACTTTATAAAAATACTTTACATATTTTAAAAAAAAAAAATCTAATTTTATATTGGCAGTGCACAGTTTTATAATTACAACTTTCACTGTTAAAATGTCTAGGTAACAAAATAAACTTTTCTATATCTTTATGGAAATAAATTTGTCTTTTACAAAACAGCACTTGAAATAGGCAAGTTGGTGTTTAAGGCAGTTGAATGACATAAAGTACTTTGTATCCCTGCTCTTAAATAACTTCAAATAACAGAATTTTAGCTTCAGAATTAAAACTTACAATAAACAAGACATTGTTCGCCTGGGCCGAATCTGAAATGCTAAATTTGCATAGTGATTCAAAACACATTTACAATGTGACATTTTTTGGATACTGCACCTAAATGTCACACAAAGCTTAACTTGTACTCTTTGGAGAAAAATCATGTCAAGCTCTATAAACATTTATTCCTTAAAGCTAACTCATGTCTATTTTTATGTTACTAGTACTTTTTTTAATTGGTGGCAAGTAATCTAATAGTCTTCTTTTTTTTTTCAATGGATTCATTAGCTAGGCTATTACATTCATTATTGCTAGTACTTCCATTCCTTATTCCTTTGCAATTAATCACTATCCCGTCATGTCATTTAGTGACAAGTCACTAATCCATTGTTACTGGCATGAAATTGCTGAATTTTGTGGTTCAGATATAACCTATTTTACTTTTCCAATCTGAATATACACACTAGTCCACTGGTAACCATTTTAAACTTTCTAGTACGAGTATTTCTAAGTTCATTTAATGTTATGGCTACAAGATAACCATTCTGACGTGTCATTGCAACTTGTGAAAAAAGAAATGTTATTAGAAAATATGGGATAGCCTATATAGTCCTACTATCAACTTTTGGGATTGCTACTAGTAACTTAAAAACAAGTAATGAACAACAAACAAAAGTTGATAGTCACTATTGGGTTACTTGCTATGGGGGAAAAGAACAACAAAGACTAGATGTTTTAAGGAATAAATGTTGACATAACAGCTTGCCATAAATGAAGAGGAAAGCAGGAGAAAATTGACAAAATGCACTATTCCCGAACAGCCGTTGGAGCAGATCATTAACTCGCCTTCAAAGTCATCAAGGAAGCGGTACTACAGCCAAAATGGATGCCACCACCACCACAGTCAAAACAGAACATGCCACAAAAGGAGAACCTGTGTTCCTCGTGGGCTCTGGCTCTGGGTAATCCTCATCACCAGGCTCATCGTCATCGTAGTCAATGGTGGAGCCTTCTTCATCCACAGGGGGAGAGTCAAAGCAAAGCGTTTTCATACTAGTTTTGATAAACTCGCAGATTGTCCGCTCTGATCCATCACAGACGCAAGAATCCAAGAGTTGAGCTTTGGGTAGTTTGCGCATGTAAGCTATGACATTGCGGCACTGGTTCGAACAGCTGGAGCCGCTGAAGAGTTTCCCGCAGTGAAATAAATAATCGCCCATCGCGCTTCGGCACTGGGTGTCCCTTTCGCATTGGCGCCGGGCTTCGGTGCAGCCCATGCTGCTAGTTTTGGGCAGGCACGGCTCGATGGATCGTTTGATATCCCGGCAGCGCGGGTCCGAGGCGCAGCTGCAGTCCTCCAGCGCCGGGCCGCTCTTGGTCAGGTTGAGTTGCACCAACGACGAGATGCAGTGACTGGGACACTTCTTCCTCTGGCCGCTCAGGATCGATTCACAGGCGTGCAAATACTGGTCATACGCGTAATGACACTCGGGTTCCGACTGGCAGTTTAATATCGCTTGCCAGCAAATCAACCGACGGCCGTGGTGGTTGGAAGAGGCGATGGAAAAACAGCTAAAACACACAAGCACACAAGCGAAAGGCCAAAGTAAAGTGCGTGCGCCCCGAACCAAACTTGCATAAGTTGCCATAGCGAAGTCTGTAGTAATGGTTTGGTTGCCGTCAGGTCAGTTTCAAGCATGTATATTTCATATTTTCATTGCATCTATGGAGGGAACAATCCCTCGGATCATGTTTTGCAAGGTCCATCCAAAAGAAAAAAGTTTGTTCCACAATTGCGGTGAATTTATAAAGACGTTTTCCTGTAGGCTAATCCATGTTTTAAAAAGGAGCCTAAATTACGAAAAGTGCTATTTCCATCAAACGGCTTGTTCACTCCATCTTCTCGGGGTTGTTTTGCGTGTCCGTGTGACAGTGCGGTGATTCCTCCTCTCTTTCCACCTCTTATCTTTCTTGTGGGAAGAAGTGAAGAGCTCACGAGCTCGTCCTTTCGCGTCTCGCGCTCACATCCAAATGTGCTCGCGAGCAACTCGCATCACGCTTCCCCGACTGAACTGATAAATTCTCGAGCGTGCGCTTGTCGTCCGTCATTAAGTATGCTTAGGGACGCGAACAGATAATAACACGCCGTTCAAATTCACACACTGGCCTCTTTCTGACCCGCTAGTTTTGCTTTATCCATTCTACTCCTGCGGAACTTTAAGGGATTTCTATTGGTCAGACCGTTTGTTGTTGCAAATCTCGACGTCAAGTAAGGGGCGGGAAAATGGAGGTGGGGCATGATGGTTCAGGAATGGTCTCTCTCCAAAAGGTTTGGATTACCTCAGAGCAGAAAGGCCGACTATGCTGTTTCTCAGACGTTGTCAAAATGATGTGTGTTCTTGGGCAGTGGCCTATCACATTCACAGCATTTGATTTTGAGCATGAAAATTCAAGTACAACCAGCAACTTTATTGCTGAACAAGATAAAATAATAAATTACAATTTGCCATCAATAGTCAATAGCTAAACATACATTATTTAAAAGAAACACACAGACACACACACACACACAAAGTATGGCAAGATTGTTAATTTCCTATTGTTTTCGAAGGCAGTCTCTTGATCACAAGTCATATATTAAAATAGCCTACAAAAACAGTAATATTATGAAATATTATTACCATTTAAAATAACTGTTTTCTTGTGAATATTTAGCCATGTGACGTGAATTTTCAGCATCATTAGGCTATCAGTATTCAGTGTCACACGATCCTTGAGAAATCATTACAATATGCTGATTTGGTGCTGAAACATTTCTTATTATTTTCAATGTTGAAAATGGTTGTCCCGCTTAATATTTTGCGAAGCATTTATTTTTCAGGAATTTTTGTTGAGTAGAAAGTTCACAAGAACAGCATTTATTTGAAATAGAAATTTACATTATTGTCACTGATCAATTTAATGTGTCCTCGCTATATAAATGCCTCGTTCGTTCATTCACTCAAAAGTACAAATGTAGCTTATTTTAAATATTCTTACAAACCCCAAACATTTGTATGATAGTAGTATATAGCATAGATTTTCATTACAGAGGGCACACAAGAGTATCTCTTATGTAAACAATGTTTTTCATTAAAAAAAATTAAAAAAAATTCCTTGTAGACCTAAACCTGTGTTGTTAACTAGCTTTTAATTTGGAGTCAAGTCAAGCCAACTTAAATATGAGTTTCAATCTATACTCATTATATCTAACCACATAGCCTATGGGTTTTCCTGAAGGAATCTAACAAATGTTTAATGGAAAGTCAGTTTTCTTTTATCTGATGTTACTGCATCTGTAATGGATTTATTTCAAGACATTCTCAAATACAGAATCAGAATCCATTTCAGAAATACAGTATATATGGCCTTTGCTAAAATACATCGGCCTAGCTGTTACCATGCCAGATTTTATTTTATACGTTTTTGTCCTTTGAGACAAGATCTTACGAAATAAAGTGGAGAAAATGGAGAATGCATTTTGTGCGAATGCCATTTCAGCTTGATCCAGGAATGTTTGAAAATGATATTCCCGGCTCGTTCCACCGTGTCTAGTCGATTAGACAATAGAAAAAGAGACATTGGCTAAAAGCAAAATCAACTCTGGTCTCAGATATAAAATGTAACGGTGAGCCGTGAAAAAAGGTGTAAAATGATAACATGCAAGTTCACACTTGAACATCAAAAGGGGGCATTTGCTGATGCTTAGGATGAAGGATCAGTGGGTCCACCTTGCATAAAGAGGGTTTGTGTTTCAAACACTACTCTGGAGTCAGGAATGTACCTTTAGGCCACTGCGCACAGAGCTTCTGACCCTAAACAATGAACTCAATGTCAGTTACGGATGGTCAGATCTGACAATGACGTTTTTGCACCAGTTCTAGGTGATGGATGTAGGGAACTCTATACCCGGTGAGTCAGAAGTCTTGAGAGCACGATGATTTGATCCAGAGATAATAGTTGACTCACTCAGTACCTTATTTAAGATCAACTTTCCAATTTTTACTGTGGTGACTTTAAATATTCACTTAATACCTGAATCCTTAACAGCTCTACTTGGATTTAAAGGAGATCTAAATAGAGGGAGGAAAATAACATATACAACAATTTATAAACAACGTTGTTTTATAGTTTTTTTTTTTTTGTTTGTTTGTTTGGGGGGTTTTTTGGGCAGATTTAAATAAGCAAGATTCTCATGCAATAGAACTGCTTCCTTTTACTTTAAATGGGGATTTATCTAAACTTACAGCACACAGCTTTAAATGGGGGTAGAAACCTCAACTATGGGACAAATGCACACAGTCACAGCACGAATTAAATCCGTCCGTGCTCGTTATGAGAGAAACTTCAATAACACATTATTAACTTGACTTGTTTATGCTATCATAGTTTAGAAAAATACACAGCAACAAGATAGTATTTTTTGAGCTGGGCTTTGGAAATGTAATTAAATGCCGTAAATTAGTGCTGATTTGTATTGATAGAGTGAAAGAAAAGTATAAAGAAACAATCCACTTATATAGATGTCTATCCTCTCGAACTTTAAAGCAGAATTATTTCAATTGGGTAATTGAAATAAACAAAAAATGTTTTGTCTCTTATTCCATTTTCTAAAATAATAGTGTATGTTTTTGTTTCTTTGCTTAACACTTTGTGCCATAGTATTAAAGTCAAATGTTAACAGTTACCTTGCAATGATTAGGGAAAAAGGTAAAAGTCACAGGTTACAATTTTAGCTCAACATGTAAGCCAATTTATATGGTTTTAAAATAAATAATAATGCACTAATCTAAGAATACCTTTCTTACACTTTGGGAGGACTTAATTAGAAACAGATTCCTTACAATAATCCGTGGGGTCCCGTTGCAAAATTCCTGACCCTTATGGATGACCCTAAACAAAAACTCACCCGTGCTGTAGTTAGAATAAACTCACATAATTCCAATATTCACAATAATACAATTCACATAGCAAAACACTGAAATCACACAGCTAGAGCATGAACACATTTTTAATACATTAATCAATAATTTAAACCACAATCATATAACATGCCTATTACATGTTAAATGTAATATGTATGTCCAATTAAATGTCACCTATTGTTACATTTAAAACAAAAGATATATTTTCTTTTTTTGGAAAAAGAGGCATTTCAGCAGCAACAAGTCAAATGGCTATAAAATATTTTGAGATTGTTTTTTATGCAAACATGTTTTAGTTCTATTTGGGAACTATCCAATATAGATCAATATAGGAATTATCTTAAAATCTTCTAAGAGCCTACCAGATAAACATAAATTCCCCAAAAATTAAACTGGAAAATAAACTGGAAAAATAAAAAAATAAACTCAGTATATTCATCGCGGATTCTTATGGGATTGGTTCGAAATTATGATAAAAATGATTTAAACATTCCTACAGGAAGTTGTGACACTAAGCAGCTGCTCTTGGTTTTATTGCGGCTCTAAACACACCAACAACTGTTGTTAGCGCCATGATAGAGATATAGACAGCTGCCCCATGTGTCGGAATCAATTGAGTTAAGCTTTATAACATCATTCTGGTTTTATTGTTATCATTTGTTAAAAAGCATTATATTTGGACATGATTGTGCTTCATTCTTTTTCATGAACACAACAAAATAAAAAAATAAAAATAAAAACACAAAGACATTGAGCCTTTCAGGGAGTAGTATCAGTATCTATGTGGAGTGTCCTCTGGAATCCAGACATCAATATTTCAGTCAGGGAGGATGTTGACTAAAAACCTCTTTCACTCTCATTCCATTCCTGCATTACCATCCCATCTTCTTACTAACACCAGATAGGAGGACCGATATCTTTGCCAAGTCCTGTTTGAACCCACGAATCAACTCCCTTGATCAGCACACGCACACAGCTGTTCCAACACATGGCCCCCTTCCCTTTCCATACTACAAGTGACTATTTATACAGGCCTAAGGGCCCGTCATACCATTGCAAAGAGGGGAAGAATTTCATGTGAGCATATGGGCCTGGCCAATAAAGACATATCCCCTCACAGACATGACCTTAATCCAACAAACATGGAGTGCAGCATGGAAGAATTTTACAACATGAGACACAACAAAGCCTGACGGAAAATATGTGAGTGGCAACCACAAAACATTCTATATAGGCTTTAATGGTATTTAGAAATCAAAGAGCAAATGCATTGAGACCTGTTTGTTCATAATTGTACAAATAATTCAGATATGAGTAATTCTTTAAACTCTCACTAAATTATTAGTCTGTGTTGTGTCCCACACCCACATGCAATTATGCACAACCCTGTTAATCTTGCATAATAGTTAATAGAAGCCAATTTGTTGATGCTTTTGGCAAGCTGCATTCATTACACGAATTCTTCAAAAGCATATTAGTTAAGAGAGTATAAAATATTCACAGCCAAATAAAATATAACCACACCTGTCAAGCTGTGGTTGTGGGAAGATGTTCTCTGAATTTCTGAAGCCTGTTTCAAACACATTGCCAGCCCTGTGTTGGTATCTATAAGAAGCATAGCTTGTAAAACACAAGCTCGCGGAACCTTTAGTCACCTTGAGAGGATAAAGGGTGAGTGTTTAAAACGGCATGCAGGATTCCTCCTATAATCAGCCCAAATACCACCCTTTCCCGTCGCCCTATGCCCCCAATTGTTGCAAAAAGCCTGGCCTGACCTGTCTGGTTATGGAGACGTAAAGAACGAGCAGGTAATGTGAAACCCCTAGCACGATTCCTCTTTTTGGTACCTTACGGCCGTAGCCCCTGTTGTGTTATGGGGACGCTTTTTTGGAGCGATCACTGTGGGCCTGAACGCTGGCCACCGCAAAGCTTAGAATAACTGAATGACACAATGGTTTCTTCTCTAAATAAACAGATGTAGGGAGACTGTTAAAACTCCTAGCCCCCTTTTTGCTGTGCCAGAGTTTTTTTCCCATCTGCGAGCTGTAAGAACAATTTCTCGCTCCCTTCCTCTGAGAAATAGTGAGTTTTCATTCTGGCCAGCTGTGGAGCTGAGCCCTGCCCTTCTTATTTTACCGCTTTGATTAGATGATATCAGCTATCACATCGAGTCTACATAATTGCATCTCATAGCATTCTGTCTTTCCCACCGGCACATGTTAAGGAAATTGCATTTGTCAAGCCCTTAAGCAATACATTTTCTGT